TTTCTTTGTATGTATTTTTATATAATCTGTTATAACTCTTATCCAAAGGTAGTCTGCGCAGTGGCCAGATCTCCGTAAATGTTAGCTAGAGTTGGTTTTATCTGAGCTGTAACAAGCCCCTTTGGTCTAGCCTCAACAAAACTTCCCCTGAATCATTTAATACTTTTTTTTAGTGCTTTTTATATCATTGTTCTAGTTTCTTCCTTGGTAACAGCTATAATTCTTAGGGATGATCTCATTTTTCTGTCTTCCTTGTGATGATCTTTCATATTTTTTTCATTTACTTTTCCTTTTCACCTGCATAATTTCTTGAGATTTTGGCCACATTATTAGCCTGATTTCACTGCCTCCAAGTGACTGCATTGTGACTTTCTCCATTCTCTTACTGATTTTCCTTTTATCTCAGACAAATATGTTTTCATCTTAATCTCTCTTCTTTTATGGATTTCCACTTCTATCACATAGAAGCAATATCTTAACTTGGTCTTTTAATTCTCTGAGTCAATAGAATAAACAAAAAATTATTATTCCCAGCAAGTGCTATGATCAGGGACTCAAGGTTCTTTGTGACTTTGCCTCTGTCTACAGTATTTCACTTGTGGGCCACTATGACACAGAATGTAGTACATTGTTTTATATACAACAATGCTGAAAAAAAGTAGTATTCATACTTTGATCTTTCTGACTGGTATTCATTCACCCTGGTTCTCAGTTTCTTTGAGTTTATATTCAGTGTGCAGTTTTCTTAAACTTGCAATAGACTGATAGTCAATCATAGTTGTCAGTGGTGTCATGATTTTTCATTTTCACCCTATTTCTTCATTAATCTATTTTTCCTCCTTCCTGCCCCAGATGCATTTAATTTTGTTCTTGCAAACAATACTTATTTTGCTCTTGATGAATACATGTTATAGACTTTTTCATCCTATTGAGGACCCAAATAATATGCCATTTTCTTATGGATCCTATTGTAAATCATTTGATAAGGTATGTTTTTTTCTCTGTATTTCAGAATGATATCCTCCTTCCTTTCCATTGTTCTGAAAAACTGTGTATAGATTCTATTTCAAATTGTGATTTTGATTTATTTCTATTTACTAATACCTGAATGAGAAGAGATATGTTCACACTTTATATACACCATCAGATAGGGGAGAATGGATTATCCATGATTTGGTTAACTTTCCGCTTAGGGTCTACCTGAATCTCAGATCCTGAGATATAGAGCAAGATTTTGTTTCCTGCTATTAAATGATCATACATCCACTCTAGTCTGACTGTTTTGAGCTGGGATCTTTGTTTGTTGACACTTTATGCCAAACAGTACATGAAAAATTATAATACTCAATATGCATTATTATCAGGTATCTTTGTTCCTCAACCTGCACTTATAACTTCCTTATGATCAGTTCCTGTCCCATGTATGTTTACTACTACCTTTGTAGAAATGTTAATAGAAATATAGGTGAGGTTACTTCAAAGGTATGCACAACCTCCATATTAAAATATTACCTGTACTTTTTTGTAATGATTTTTTTTATAAACTAAGTTGATGTTAAAAATATCTATAGCATAATGTTAAATGTAAATCTAAGGAGGAAAGTTTATATAAAAATAATGCGTAGCTCTAGTATGGCACTTGTTAATGATTTAATTTAACACAGTGAAAAGCCTAACGTGTTATTAAAATAGTTATAAAGTCACGAAATGTATAATGTACATGTCACATACCATTTTCTTTGTGCACAAATGCTCCCTGAGGAGATTCAGGGATCCCTTTCCAGACTGTGATTGGCTTGGGATAGCCAGGGTCCATGGTTTTCATTTCTTCACTATATCTCCAATACCTAAAAAGGATAAAAACAACAACATATGCATAGGGAAATAAATAAGGTATACAAACAGTAATAGCTAACATTTATTAAATCTTTGCTGTGAGCTTAATACTGTTAGTTGTATACCTATTACTGATTTACAGAACACTGGTTGGGAAGCTCTGATTTAAATCACTGGAAAGACGATAGGCATAAAGTATTTACTTTGTTCCTCTCCTGCATATATTAAAAGTGAGTATTTATTCAGTCTGCTAAATTAATAAAAATGCTAGCTGAGTATATTTACAGTTCGTAAGCGTATCACCAACCTGTGCGTGGGCGTGTGTTTGTGTGTGTGTATCTGAGGTCTTCATGAGGTTTTTTTTTTTTTTTTTTTTGATATTTCCTAAGCAGTAGAACATTTTTTGGAAATAATCTTAAGCACAATCTTGATTCATTTATTAATTCAGCAAATATTTACTGAATTCCTATTATATTCCTGACACTATTGTAGGGCTAGAGATAACAACGTTGAACAAAATAGACATGGTGCAGCTTTCATCCAGTCTCATAGTTTTGGATATGTGGGGATATAGGTAATAAACCAATTTATCAATAAATACATACTATGGTAGGAGGCGTTAAGAGCTATGAAGGAAACAAAGCAGATAAAGTTATTTAGGAATATAGAGAAGCCATTTTAAATTACTGAACAGAGAGGTCCTCTGATATGCTGACATTTGAGCAGAGGACAGAGAGAAGTGAGGAACAATACCTGTGGTCTTTGGGAGGAGGAAATTTCAGGCAGAGAAACTAGAAATTGAAAGTTCCTGTAGCAGACACATGTTTAGAGTACTTGAGCATCTACAAGGAGGCTAGGGTGACTAGAATTGAGTTAGTAATGGGGGGATAAGATCAGAGTGTGACCCAGAACATAAGAATAGACAGACCTTTACACTTTGGTTTTCCACTAAGAGAGATGAGAAGCCAGTATATATTTTGAGCGGAGGAGCTTAAAGTTAAGGTGTATTATTGAAAAGAATACACTGGTTCCTGAGAGCAAAAGAGATTGAAGGGGATAACGTAGGAGCAGGGATTCCAGTTGGGATGTCCTTGCAATAATCCTCAGACTAGAAGTCAGCTATAGAGTTAATGATAATTCAAGGGATTTAAGATATATTTAAAAGGAAGAGCCCAAAGGACTTACTAATGGATTGAACATGGGATGTGAGAGAGAAGGAAGTTGAGTGTGACTCAGGAATTTTGAGCCTGATCATCTCAAGAAATAACGTTGCCATTCAGTAAGATAGGGAAGCAAGGGAAGGTAAGCTGAGATGGTTTAGGGATCATGAGTTAGGTGTTAGCTACTTTCAATTCAGACATCAAAGTGAAGTTGTTGATCAGGTAATTTGGTATGTGAGAGCAGACTTAGGGAAGATCTTAATTGGAGTCCTCAGTGTATAGACAGTAAGACAAGTAAAAGCAAAGCTCGCCAAGCGTTAGAACTCTCAGGCTCCTATCCCTTCACTGAGAGGCCCTTAAGCCACTTTCACAGAACTCCTAGACTTCCAAGCAACCAAATGTGAACATCCCTACTTTGGATCACTCATTATTGCCCATCTGCTCTCAGAATAAAATGAGTTTATATCTTGAATGGTCTAAAATACTGACAACATGGGGTGAAATCATTGGGAGTTCATGGTGATACCACCTATTTTGGGGAAGGACTAATGCTCTATGCATTGTCTTATTTAATCACAACAAACCCATGAGATAGTCATCATTGTCCCCATTTGAGGGAGGAGAATTCTTGGAAGACAATGGATGATAGCAGATGTATAATCAGATTTGCCTAATTTCAAAAGTATTTACTGTTTCCATCATGAACACAGTTTCCAAATTTATTTGACACCGCCAAATATGTGTTCCAAATTTATTTGACAATGCTTTTTCTCCCCACTAAACATTTATGACTATCTGCTAAATCTAGTGTTTCACCAATACAGGTTTGTGAAATGACATATTTTTTGAATTATCCTTGGATTAGCCATTTTGCCTGAAGTTAGGAAAAAATAAATATTTTTAAGTTTCAGTATTTTCCTATACCAGGTCTACGGAGGATCCTTTATCTTCAAAGCTGTGGGAACCTATACGGAAGGTTTTGCTTTAAATTCCTGGAAATCTCACTTGAGTAACAATCTGGAATATTAGTACTTCTTTCATCTTCAATGTTCACACGGAAATGAGAAAAAGATTGTTTCAGAAAGTATTCTAATAAGTAATGCACAAGGAAGAGTTTATCCAAAAAGGGAAAATGTCACAGGTTCTCACTCATCACATGAAAGGTGAGAACAGATCTGATGGACAGATCAGGAATCGCTTCATGGGGAAGCAAAACTGCAGTAATGGTGAGGGGGTCTATCTTTCTGAAGACAATGAAGCAGAATCATTAGTGTATCATGTTATCAATTCTAAAAGCTATTTTCTTTCACCTTTTGTTCCTGTAAATGCCTGCTTTTGAATTATTTTTTAATATTTCTTTCCCACAAAACATTCTGTGATGAATACAGAACGGTTAATGTGGTCGAGATTATGCTCATAATCTCAAGATCTGGCCTCCTGAGTAAATATTTCAATGCAGTTTACAGCAGTCATGTATGTTAACTGCTTCCCACGCTTGGGCAAAGAAAGTCTCTTATGAGGAAACAGTCAAATTCCTATTTTATGGATCCTAACAAACACATTTTTTTTTCACATTTTACCTCCCTAAACATCAGAATGCACCTTACAATCGACACAGTGTCAGTTTATTTGGTGGGATTTTTCTTTCAATAATAGATTAATGATGTATCTCACAATAAATGATACTTTTGGATGACACAAACTACATCTTAAAGTGAGCTTTTAAATGCTTATCTAGAAGCCTGGAATAATTTAAAAGCCTGAGGACAATGGGATCACATCCTGTATGTGATTTCAGTAACATTACTATATACTGAGAAACCAGGTTAGTTTTCTGAGAAGTAGTTATAAAATTCATCGTGTAATAATACCGATACTTTCTGTAGTGTTCTATAGCTATAACGTAAATTTATATACACAGATTAGTTTATCCTATTTCACTTAAATCCCTGAACAATCTTTTATATTGTGTATTATGATGTTCTCTATGATGATATCTTAACCATAGATTTAGTATATATATGTATATGGTCACTCGATTTAATCAACGACAGAGCATTGGGTACCATATTATTCAAAGATAAATGACTTAGGCCGGGCGCGGTGGCTCACGCCTGTAATCCTAGCTCTCTGGGAGGCCGAGGCGGGTGGATTGTTTGAGCTCAGGAGTTCGAAACCAGCCTGAGCAAGAGCGAGACCCCGTCTCTACTAAAAATGGAAAGAAATTAATTGGACAACTAAAAATATATAGAAAAAATTAGCTGGGCATGGTGGTGCATGCCTGTAGTCCCAGCTACTCGGGAGGCTGAGGCAGGAGGATCGCTTGAGCCCAGGAGTTTGAGGTTGCTGTGAGCTAGGATGACGCCACGGCACTCTAGCCTGGGCAACACAGTGAGACTCTGTCTCAAAAAAAAAAAAAAAAGATAAATGACTTAGTCACTTTTACTATATTTGAACGCCGTACAGTTGAAATTCACATTAACTGTCTTTGGTTCATAGTTTGCATGGTTTTCCACCATGGTACTGCCCTGCTACTGTCATTCTTCCTCTCTTGATGCTCTCACTTAAGCAACTCATGTTCATTGTTTGGGTATAGTTTTCCTTCCTCCCTTTTTCTATTCACTCATAGATCCGTTCACCACCAATACTTTTTTGAGCATCTATATTATATGCCAAACACATAAGATTCAGAAGGATCACATTTCATGAAAATATTGATGGAATGTAAATTTTATTACACTCTCTTGTAGGAACATAATTCTGGTCTGAATTTGTCAAAATAAAAGCATTTTTCCTTCTCCTAGCAGATAATGCAAAACGATAACTTGGGATCATTTCACAAATTTTTAACAACTCAACATAGCCTTGAACGCTCAGGTTGTCTGTTGTGTATCAATTTTACATATATCCAGTAAATCTAAATGTGATTAGATTATCTAACTATACTGAGTACTGTCTTATAAAAGGTGCTGAGGCTTATTCATAAATACAAGTTTATATTTTAATTTCTAACATATTTGAACATGCTTCAACATAAACAAAAAAGCTCATCCCACTGATTTTTCCTCCCTGAAAAATAAGCTTATTGGTTCATTGAGAAGTAAATTAGCATATTCAGATAGGAACGCTGTGTAAATAAATTGTTTAAGGGGTTTAAAATGTAGATATTATAGTGGAAAAAAATTTGAAATTTTGTACATAAAAGTCAGTAAATGATAAAGGCTATTATAATCAATCTTTTAGCTTTTTCTTCTTATTTATCAGTTTTCTCTACAGTAGAATTTTGACTTTAATCCGATTTTTTTGAGAGAAGCATTCTTAATGCTTCAAAATCTCATTCCACAGAAATGTTCTTAAAAATGCAACGGAATAGAAAATATCCATTTTTACTGTATTATTGGGTGATTTAAAAACATATACATTAAGTAATTACTTCATAAACACACAACTTAAGCTAGAGGAGATAAATGTATATTTTTCTATTTGACTATTAGTGATATTGATAAAAAAACCAAAATGGGTCTAAATTTTGTTATTTCTATTTGAGAATATCATAAAATTTTCAACAGTTAAGCTTACAATGAAACGTGGCAATAGAGTCTCAGATATATTTGTGAGAAGATGCTGAGAGATGATTTAGAAACATAGCATTTTAAGCTAAATGCTACGAAGATCAAAATGCATCCAAGTACCAAATTTTAGTGTATTAAGAAAAGGGCAAGTAGGAATCTGAGGGTTGAGTTCCATGGTGTATATGAAACAGTGAAAAAGGAGATATTTTAATCTGAATTTACAGATCTATTTAAAGAATCATCATTTCATCTACTCTCTTTAGCTATCCCTATACTTAGAAGATTTCCTGTGGGCCCCTGTTTTTAATACCATGTATATGTCAATACCTCTGAAATCTGTGCCTCCAACTGACCTTTCCACTAAGATGCAAACTCAATTATCCAACTATCTGTGCTTCACTTCTCCATTTGGTGTATAAATAGGCACCTCAGTCCAAACATGGACTTTTCAATCTCTTAATCCGCTTTTCCAAATATTCCTTCCCCGTCTGCTCTATCTCCAGGACTTGCACTACCCACTTACTTACTCAGGTGAAAAACCTACAAGTTGCCCTTGATTTGTTTTGTTCCTCTTTCCTAAATCCAAGCCATAAGAACAACTTGTTATGATCACATTCAAAATGTCTCCTGCACCCATCCACTCTGCCCACCTCTACTGCTACCATCGTGTCTTCCCGTACTCCCTCGGCAGCCTCCCTAGGACTCTCCTTGCTTCCACTCCTGAAGTGCATTTTTCACACAGAAGTCGGAATGATCTTTGTGAATACACATAAGATCATGTCTCTTTCTTGTTGAAGACCCTCCAATGCCTTTCCACCGTACTAAGAATAAAATCCAAAGTCTGTGCCCTGGCCTATAGGGCCCTGTGTGATCTGGTCCCTGTTTACCTGTTTGACCTCTTCTACCACTGAATCACTGTGCTCTAGCAATCAAGTTTTTTTTTTTTTTTTTCTGTTTTTGAACAATCCAACTTCATCCCTACATTATTGCCTTTGCACAACTATTTCATCTACCTGTAATACATTGTTCTGAATAGCTTCCTGTTTCCTATTTCTGGCTAAAACTTCTCCTTGCTCAAGTCTCCACTCAGGTGTCTCCTTCACGAGGGAGGCCTTCCTGACTTCCACGCTAACTTCCCAGCCATTGCTTACCACCCACGTGTCTCTTCTGCATCATCATCTTGTTTTATTTCTTTGTAGCATTTCTCATTGTGAAAATTATCAGGGTCATTAATTTGTTTAGTGTTCATTATTCATCTCCCCCAAAAGAATCTAAGTGCTATGACAGCAGGAGCCTTGTAATCTTTTCTACTACTCTACATTTATTACCTAGCACATGTCACAGAGTTTGTGCTCAATAATTGATTTTTGAATGAATGAATGAGGGCTAGGGCAAGAACTATGCAGAAATCTTAAGGAAACAGGCATTAGAGCATTAGAGCTATTGAGAATGGAACGGGCTGCCTCGTGTTCACACCATCACATCAGGCAGTTAGGCAGAGAGGGATGGATACTGTGGGCCGTAATTGAAGGTGTCTGGATTTTGGTAGGGAGTGAACAACACGCAGGGCTGACATATGGCAGGACTTGGACCAAATCTAATTTAAAGATGTGCTTTGTTTGTCTAGCAAATTATTTTAAATGATTCTGATTTTGAATGCAAAGTCTGGTGTTTGCAACTTTCCAGCTTACCACAGTACCCATCACTCCCTATTGCCTTAGACACTGCTGCTCTACCCAGTAGTATATATGTTATTCACTCAATTGCTTTAAAGTGGTTGATTTTCTTACACTTGTACTAGATACTCTCTAAAATCCCATCTTCTCTTAGCCTTAGAGAAATAGAAAACCATTAACACAATTTATTTTCTTTTTTTAAAGCAGAAAAGTGGCAGTGGGAGAAGAGAGAAGAAATAAGTAAGGAAAATAAATTCCCATATAAGTGACAATTGAATTGTTGTTTATATGTTTGAGCTGGATAATGTAATGTCTTTTCCATCTACTTTTAAATGTAGAATTAATGTATTGACAAATGGAATTTGACTCTGGAATTATACAATTCTACAAATATGAAGTGATCTCTTTATAAAATATCAATAATTCATGACATCTTATATAAGATCACATATATGGAAATTAACTGGAATCCTGCTTTCAATATCTTTAAAACCTATAAAACCACAGTTATTTAAAAAGAACTTAAAAATAATAAAAGCATTTTTATACATTTTGCTATATTTGGCAGGCAGCTTTTTGAGTAGGAAGCAAATGGACTAATAACACTTTTCCCACTTACTATAGTCTTTAGTCTATTATAAATTTGATATCTAACTTCATTGATTTCACTGGTTTGAGGCAGCTCACATTTACTCTCTAAACTTAAATTTTCCAATAAGTGCTACATTTTTAGAATGGAAACATTTGAGAAGTAATTCCTGCATATGTGGGAAACAGGGCTATCTGATAATGAAATGGCAGTTTCTATTATCATCTATGAAACTCTAATTAAAACTGTTGAAAAAGCTTTCATTTTCTGTCCCCTAGCAGCTAACTTCTTGAAAGTGACTCCTCAAACTTTCATGTCTTCCTTTTCTCAGGGATGGGAGGATGGGGAGGGAGAAGTGCAACTCCGTATTGTACCTAGTCCTCAAAGAGCACATTCCAGCAATTAAAACCAGCTGGAGAATTTAACAACCCTAAGGGTTACAACATTTTAAAGAATATGTTATAAGTCTGCAGATTTATTTTATTAGTGGTCACTATGCTGCAGCAATAAAGTCCTTCATTCTTCTCCTTTCAAACTGTATTACACGTACATCCCATTGAGTCATTATATTTTTTGTGGTTGTAGGGGCATCTTTTCCTTTAATCAAATTTTTATCGGGTGTATCTTTTCTGCTTGTGATTTAGTAAGAAGCATTGTAGCAAAGCCCTAGCTTTAATGTAGTGAATTGAAATCTATATTTTAATATGTAACATTTTGCTTTAGAAATATATGGAAATATGATGTATATAAAATTAGTAACAATAAATTTAAAAGTGTACATTCTTATCTCTGGAGATCAATGACAGGATCTTTTTGTTCACAGATAAAGCTCAATATTAGAAACAATTTGCAATTAAAAATTGTGTATTTCAAAATAAACGCAGTTTATACCCTTACTTAGTTTTCTCCTGAAGGTGGAGACATTTTATACGGTTATTTTTTGCTAATAAGGCAAATTCAATACTGGCATGTTGGACATTAAAGCCTGTTTTTTCTGTGTGTGTTTTTAAAAAATTCACTTGTAAAAAGCAATACAATGGCATACTTAATTCGTTCTATTATGCAAGCCAGTAAAGACTACTTATGAGTTTCACATTGTGACCCAGCCAGTAATAGCGTAATTAAAATTTGATTTTTTTATCTTTATTACTTTTCTTACTTAATATTTATTTAAATTAATAAAAATATAGCCTTCAATTCACATATATTTTATAGGTAATATCTGTCAAAAAGTGGGCAGAGGTGGAGCTATGTATACCTAGTAGATAACTGTAAATTATAAGACTAACAATTCTCTTTCATTTTATTAACCCTGTCACCAATGTCGCAAAAGAAAAATAAAGTAAGAGAGAGTGAAATAGCTGGGAAAGAATATTATGCTTTAAGCTAAAAGTATTTAGCCCAGTGATAGTTTGGTTATATATAGTTTATAACATCTGCTTGCTGGTATCTAAATAAACAACCTCTTAAGAAATAGAAACCATGACTAAACTGAAATTATTTGAAAATGTTCACAATTAACTGCGTGCAAAGTATAAAACTTTAACTTTGAATGTGAAAACACACACACAAAAAACTATGCTAAAATGTTTCTTTTCCTAAATAAAGTAAGTAAAACTACAAGAAAATGCACTGCAAGGATACAGATATACAATGCTGACACAGGTTTATAGGGATGTTAAGATTATGGGGAAAGGAGAATATATATATATAATTCATCAAAAAGTCATATTAGTTGAGTATGTTAGAAGAAGATTTATTTAAATATTATTTAAAAATATTTTAAAAATATTTTCAATTTCATTAACTCTTGGGTTTACATTAACACAGAGTTTTCATCAATAGTACATGTCTATGACAGACTAGAAATGTTGACTTCTGTAAACATTAGTTAACTGTTTTCCTCATGTGAAGTGTGTACTGACCTGTCCCCCTTGAAGAAATAGGTTTTCCCAACGTCCTCCCACCAAATAGCTGAATCGATACCATGAGGGGGAATTCCACTTCCAAGAGTAATCAAGTCATGCGGGTAACCAGGTTGAAGAGTTGTGTCCTTGAACACCCAATATTTGTTACCTGTACGAAATAAGTGCAAATGCAGAATATATTAATTTAATGTCAGAAATTAGAATATCTCTATTAACACAATGTACTTAAATTTATTATAATTAAATTCTTGAAATAAGTTAGTAGCAGTCAATCTGGAATATTGATGCTATTCTTGAAACATTAACGCTATTTTCACAAGTGGATACAATAAATAACTACTTAATGATACAATCAAAATTTGTGAGTTAGTTTAAAACATAAAATAGGTCTACAGCTTAGCCGTAAAGAAACACTTCTGAGTCAAGGATCAAAGATTCTTTCCCTAGAAATTAGAGGCCGTATTTTTGTTCAAGGCTAAATTATTCCTATGTTTTGTGCAACATGTATGCCCCAGATTGCTTTCGTGATTCTAACCTTTACTCTAGTGAAACACTTCCTCTGGGCCGATTCTTCCTTTTATTACATAAACGCTCACAGTCTCTCTAGGCTTATAAAGTCATCCTCCTTTGACCTCATGCCCTCCTCTAGCTGTAACACTATTCCTCTCTTCAAGAGTGGTAACTGAGGGGTGGAAAATTTTAACCTTAAACCAGTTCAGAATTTCTGGAGCACAATGATAATAAAAAGCAGACAGACTGCTAAAGTCTGACTAAAGTCGGTTTTATTGCTGTTTGACAATTCTCTACAGACAACACACTTCCTCATGCCCTCCCTATGCCCCTTGCAGACTGTGCCCACCACGTCCCTCTTTGGTGTGTCTATCATATAGCCTACAACCATTTCTCACTCCGCTGAAAGTTGATCTCATACCTAATGGTCCACTCAAACCTTTTGTTCTGGAGTCACCAATGACCTCCAATAAAACAATTCTTCACCCTTATCTATTGACACAATTGACCAATTAAAGTCCTTCTTCCCTGAGCTGCAAGAAAATCATTTTTTTTTGGTTTCTCTCTTTGTTCTCTAGCTGCTCCTTTCTAGGCTTATTTTATTTTACTCAGTCCTTGAATGTTGATGACTGTATTCTCTGCTGTCTTCTCTTGTTATTCTAAATCTGGAGGTATCATAAACTCAATACCTATAAGGGCCGGGTTAGGGATGATAGGAATGGAATATCTCCACTAATATTGAGATACTTAGATAAAAATTGGTAAATATTCATTGTCCTAAATGCCTATATCCCTCCCCCACTTCCTCTGGGCCTCCTGAATCTTTCTATGACAGCATCCTCTTGGATCACTAGCCCCTTCTGGGGTTAATACCTAGCAGAGAAAGGTGCTTCTATGCCCTTCCTAATTGATGCAAGACCCTTACTTGTTTCTATAGTATTTCAAAACCACCCATAGATAAGGACTATGATAAACTGTAGCATTCACGTAACACCTAAAGGTATTAAGAAAGGTTAAAACAATGTGCTGCCCTAAAATAACAACAAACGAACAAAAAGACCCCACATATTTAGGCCGAATTTAGTTAGGAGTCTCTGGATTGTAATCATGGGTAATCTCATTTACTCCAGGACCTTCTACCACCATTTGATATCATTTAAATTAAAACAACATTTATTGAATATCTTTAGCATCCCAAGTATCATATTAGGTATTAAGGATACTAAAATGAACAAGACAGACCTGATCGATACCCTGATCATCCCACATGCCAGCAGAAGAGACAGACGAAAACCAAAATTCACATATGTAATTGTAGTAATTGAAAAACAAGTGAATGCAGTGAAGAAAACACATCAGAAATGGAGAAACAGCAAATAAAGGGGACTTACTTTAAGGAAAAAGGTCAGAGGAAACCTCTCTGATGAAATAAAATCTAAAGAAAGAGAAGAAAATAACTATGCCAAGAATGCCAGGAATGCCTCTCCTCTTCAGAGCAGAGGAGACTTTGGTACAATTAATGAATTGAAAGAATTATCAGTGGATTGTAATAAGCAGGGAAAGTGGAACTGAAAACCAGTATAATGGGTTTAATCTTATTTTGAATGCACTGGGAAGCCATGAAAGAGATTAAATTAATGGAGGGGGTCAGGAGCGGTGGCTCATGCCTGTAATCCTAGGACTCTGGGAGGCCGAGGTGGGAGGATCCCTTGAGGTCAGGGGTTCAAGACCAGCCTGAGCAAGAGTGAAAACCCGTCTCTACTAAAAGTAGAAAAAATTAGGCGGGTGTGGTGGCGCGTCTGTAGTTCCAGCTACTTGGGTGGCTGAGGCAGGAGGATCGCTTGAGCCCAGGAGTTTGGGGTTGCTGTGAGCCAGGCTGACGCCACGGCACTCTAGCCTGGGTGACAGAGCAAGGCTCTGTCTCAAAAAAATAAAAATAAAATAAAATAAAATTAATGGAGGAATGTGATTGTTTTTATATTTTCAAAAGATGGTTTCTGGTCTTTTGTGAAAAATGGATTATAAAGGGAAAAATGGAAATGAGAGGATCTGCCAAGGGACTTTTGCAAGAATTAATTAATTACTTGAATAATTCACTCAACCATTTACTTAGTAAATGTATCAGGCACTGCTGTAGGCACTAGAGATATAGCAGTGAACAAGAAGCACGACATCTCTGTCTCATGACGCTTAGATTCTAGTGAGTGGGTATGCGAAAATCAACCTTAAACAAATAAATGAAGATAACTTCAGAGAGCAAAGTGCTATAAAAATAGAAAAAGAAAAAAGGATAATGATGTGATAGTGATGGGATTGGGCTACTCTATATTGGACGTGAGAATGATTTTTTCATTCAATTGTGATTTATATAATTCAAAAAAGCCAGCCCAGTGCAGACTGTTTGAGGTGGAGGAAACATCGAGAATGAATGCCGTCATGGTAAGAAGCTTGTTGTATAGCTGGAAGAGTGTGACAGGAATTTACAGTAAGGATAGAGCTGAGGATCATTTTGTAACCTTTGTCGAGTTTGAACTTGATTCTAAATGAAATAAGATGTCGTTGAATAGTTAAATAAAAAAATTCTTTGACAGTGGCTTGGACTAAAGTGGCAGAAATGGAGATGGAAGAGAGAAAATGGCATCATGATATATTCTGGGGATGGAATTGATTAGCAATGCTGAGGAATTCACTGAGGGGAATAAGATAAAGGTAATATCAAGGATAATCCTCAAATTCTGGCTTGAGTAGATGAGAGAATAATAGTGTTATTTAGTAAGATAAAGAGGATTGGAAGTGGCTGAGCCATTGGGGGTTTAAATCAGGAGTCTGAGATGTCAGGGAGATGTTGATATAAAGAAGTCATGTAGACAACTGGATATGTCAGTCTGACGGTAACAGTTTGTAAGATAGAAGCATAAATGTGGTATTTACTAATTTAGGATTTGGTGAGATTACCCTGGGAAGAGTATGCAGATAAAATAAAGAGAAACCAGAACCAGGCTTTTAGAAACCTGTGACCTTTGCAAAACATCACATAAAGGAAGAAGGAAGAGGAGGCAAGTGAGGAGGAACAGGAGGCAGTGATGAGACTAAAGTAAAAGAAAACTTCAGAAGCCAAGCAGAAAATAGAGTGGTCATAAATGGACATTGCTAGTTCAGTATCTCTTGAATGCCAAACAACATATATATACATATATATATATATGTATATATGTATATATATGTATATATTAGTTACCTACTGGGATTTTCTAAAGTTGACTCAAAATTCCAAATTTGAACTCATCCTAAACACCTTTCTTCTTATTTGCTCTTTTTGGGTAGATGGCATACTATTCTGCAGCTCAATCAGAAAACGTCTTGTTCATTATTTTTCATACTTCATGGACCATTACATTCAGCTGATTTGAATCCTAACTATCACTTGAACCTGTCCCCTGAAGTCTATTCTTATTGCCGCTGGTACTAGGGATGCCTTTCCATCATCCCTTCTAAAGATAACTGCTTTGTCCACAAACCTAAGGCAGGTCTCATTGTTCTCTTCAACCTTTCTCTATACCAAGCCTAGAGCCAGTCAAAATGCTGCAGAGGAAGCTCTGGAGAGAAGGCTTGGTCAGATGAGCAAGATGGGCAGAGCCATCCATGTCTCTCTTGGGAATATGAGCCAGGGAATACCGAGAGACTTTCCCACTCAGCAGGAGGAACTGACTATGTATTATATAGGAGGAGGCCCGAGAAGCCATGATGACCACAGACAGGCAGACACTGTGAGGAGGTAGAAATTGAGTAACAGAGATGGGCTGAAGAAGAAAATAGAATGCAAAGGGCAAAGTAGATGCAAAGTGCAAAACAGTGAATGGGGGAGAGACCAGGAGGCCTATTAGAGAGACAGTAAGTGTAGCCAGTTACGGAGATGTATGAGTTCCCGTTATATACCCACTCCTCATCATAAGCTCGATTGACCTGACTGGGTTTATTTTTCTTTTAACTGAATGAGACTGTTCCATATAAATTTGTGAACATCCAAACATCACGTGAGATACTAGGTGCATGTGAGCCCAAGTCTGTTGGCCAGAGTCCTGGCTTTCAGCAAACTTGCCGTGCCGTCTTCCAGCCATGTGCCTTCAGAGTAACCTTTTTATTTGCTAGCTTGCATTATCCCGACAGTTTTCTTTCTTGTCTTCCTGCCTCCAGTCTGTTTCCCTTTTATCTATCTTCCACAAGGTCATCATTAAAGGGATTTCCTTAAAATGCATCCTTGATCTCTGCCTCTCTTTTGTTTAAATTTTTCAGTGTTTTTTTATTGCATTCAGGATGAAGCCCAAATACCTTCATATGTCATTTCGAGCTTCCTTTCAGTATGGGTCTCTTCTCTAATCTACATTCCATTTATCTCCCTTTCTGAAAAACTAAGATAACTCTTTCAAAACTTAGCTTAGCATTTCTCTGGAAAGCATTTCCTACGTGAGTAAGGTGGGCATCTCATGTTGCCAGAGTACCTGGTCTTTACCTTTATCATATTACTTAGTACACTGTACTTTAATGAATAACAAGCCTGCCACCCACTCTAGGGTGTGAGCAACATGAGGAAAAACATTATACCAAACACACTATTTTCCTGCAGCACCTCATATATAA